TTTACAAATCTTTTAAATTTTTTTGGTAATGAAAGCCATCTCTTTATCTTCTTCTGAAGCATCTTCTTCTTTCTCTTGAGATTTTGTGGTGGACTTGAAAGCTATCCCTTTCTTCTTATTTTTGTCTTTTTCTTCTTTTCTTTCTTGCATAATGATCTCATGGGTTATGAGAGATCCCATTAGCTCATCAAGACTTAATGTTGCTAAGTCTCTTGCTTCTGCCATTGCAATAACTTTGTTCTCCCAACTTTTTGGCAATGATCGAAGGACTTTGCTGACAATTTCTGCAATCGTGTAAGTCTTCCCAAGATATTTAAGACTGTATATAATATCTGTAAAATGAGTGAACATTTGGGATATGTTTTCATCTGGTTTCATCTTGAAGAGCTCATAGTTATAAACAAGTAAGCTCACTCTAGATTCTTTAACTTGAGTGGTTTCCTCATGAGTTACAACAAATTTATCCCAAATTTCTTTTGCAGTGGTACAAGTGCATATTCTGTTAAACTCGGTAGCATTAAGTGCACAATACAACATATTAACAGCTTTGGCATTTAATTAAATATCTTTAGAGTCAGCACTAGTCCACTCACTCTCAAGTTTGGGTACTAGCAGACCATCTATGGTTTTTGTAGGTACCTTAGGACCCTCATATATGATTTTCCAAACTTCATAGTCAGTAGATTGAATGTGCATAATCATGCAGGTTTTCCAATAGTTAAAATTTGTTCCGTTGAAGAAGGGTGGTCTGTTTGAGGCTTGACCTTCAGGGAGAGAAAAACTAGGGCTTTCCATAGATCATTCTAAGACGGTTAAGTCACACTACTAAAGACGTGGCTTTGATACCAATTGTTAAACAGGAAAGTAACCCAAGAGGGTGGTGAATTGGGTTACTAAAAAATTTAGTCCAAAAATAAGGTTAAAAAGATCTTAAGTAATTAAATGCAGCAGATAATCAATAGATTAACAGAAAGTAAAAAGAATAGGAAAGAAGAACTTAACATAAGGATATACAGTGGTTCGGCTCACTGGCCTACGTCCACTCCTCAAGAATCCTCCTTGAAAATTTCTTCACTATGAATCGATGCACCACCAAGCTTTTCCCAACTTGAGGTTATTTGCAAAAAGACTGACTTCAATCTGTTGAGGATCTCACCCAACAAAATGCCTCACTTTACAAATGTTTCACTCAGAAACTAAGAAACTAGAAGAAGAGGTTCAACTGTCCTCTTTAACAATTACTATCTCTCAAAAGATGGATTATGAAAGTGTAAGCTCACAAGTAAGTTTTGGACTAACTTAGATCTGAAAATGGGAGAACACACAAGTGAAATCACAGAGATTGAAAATGATACTCGGTATACTTGGTGTAGTTGCAGTCGTATGTTCTGTACTTTCAGATCTGGAAAAGATCTAGATTTATAGCCTCCATCTGACTTAACTCCTGAAAAAAAAAAAAACACACCCACGTGGGTTTACTATCGGTTGGAGCTGGGAAAGGAAATTTTTTTCAGCTGTTGTGAGTGGAGCGTGGATGGTACAGGCTGTTTTTCTGACCATTGGAGATGGAGCTTCCTCAAAGGAAGTGATGCCTATGCTTGGGATACAAAACTATGGTGGATGGATATAATGTTGTTTCCATGCTTTTTCTTTTTCTGATCTTGAGAGTGGTGTGAGTGGAGAATGTTTCCTCCATTAAGCCAGAGATTATTGTCCCAAAGTTCCTTTTGATTAGAATAACATTTGTCTGATGATGATGTCACAGAGACCCTCTTTGAGTTGGAAGATGGCGGCTAGGTTTTTTGCAACCCAGACATAAAGGTGTCGACCCCTGCAGATTGTGTGTCGACCCTTTGCTCTGTCTTTTCTTTCCTGAGTTGATTTACATGTGTTCCTGGTGTCGACCCTTATCTCATTTGGTGTCGACCCTTGCGGCTGAAGTGTATACTGTCTTTTGGTGTTGACCCTTGCTGCTGTTGGTGTCAACCTTTACATTTGGAGTGTATACTGCTTTTTGGTGTCGACCTTTGCTGTTGTTGGTGTCGACCTTTGCATCCGGAACACTTAGTTATTTTTCCAGCTTCTCCCTGGTGTCGACCCCTGCTTTTCTGGTGTCGACCCTCTGTTCTAGAACACTTAACACTCTTGAGGATTATTCTAGTGTTGACCCTTAGACCTGTGTTAGACAAAGATAGAGTTTTGCAACCAAGAGCTAATGCTTATATTTTTGATATCCCAAAATTTATTGAAACATAATATTCTAGAGTCCCAAAACAATTAGTATCATGAAGTACATATATTAATTTGAAAACTTCAAATAATCAGAAGAATAAAATATTCGTCACTAATCAAAATCAATAGAAACTCAAGTTTGAGTAACCTTGGGGCTAACAATATTTTAAATAGAAAATATCAAAAATATTATTTCACATATACTTTTATTCAATTTGGTATGATTACATAGGTTAAACTCCTAATGCAAATAACAAGTATAATTAATTGTCCATTAAATGAAATTATTCATATTAAATCTGTGTTATTGTATGGTGAAATTTGTATCGAAAAATAATAAAATGTGACACATCAATCACATGTATAGTTAATAAGTTATATTTGTTCTCTATTAAAATTAGAAGGGACAACACAGGGGTGATTCAATTGTGTCTATGAAGATGCTCCTCCATGAGATTATGAAGCTGTCTTTGAGGATGGCGTTGTGGTGGCCTATGTCTTTCAAATGGTGTTCGAGGGGAAGCAATGCAACGGCTTGTTGGACAGCTCAAGCTATGTTAAGAGGTTTTTTCCCTTTAGATTGGGTGGCTTGTTCTCTTGCACATCTTATTTCTTTTCTGTATTGTTTTTTGTTGTAATTTTTTTCTCTCATTCAACAAAAAAAGAAAAAAAGAAAAAGAAAAAAAAGTTGTATCGAAAACTCTACATTTTATATAAGATCTTGAAAATTTTTAATTCTACACACCATATTATCTCAATTCACACATTTGATTTTTTAAATCTTAATTCAAAAGTAATTTCCATATAAAATCATTGATTCAAAAAATAAAAATAAAAATATAGCTAAGCTAAATAATTTTATTCAAAAATTAATTTCCGTGCTAAATAAAAAATAATAATAATCGAAGGTTCTTCTTCCATTTTTAGTAATGGAAGAGATCCACAATATTATTTTTTTTAATGTTTAAGGTCCTTCAACCCACACTCATCTATTACAGAGAAATTTGATATTAAGAAAGTATTTTCCAATTTCTATATACTGGGAATCAATCAACCATAAAAAAACAGAGTGAAGTCGGTCTGATATGATCTGATCATCGGAGGTAGGAGAGAGAAAAATGGCATCGTCATCGAGCAGCGAACTGACATTCAAGCTCTACCCACTCGTAATCCTCAACATCTCCGATCATTACACTTGTCTTAAGTTCCAATCACAACCACCTCGTTGGCGGCGAAGCAACCACTTCGCCTCCTCTGCCGATGGTCTTCGTCCAGAAGGGACACATGGTCAAAATCTTCAACAGCTTCGAGCTTCTCTCCGATCCCTCCACCCATTCTCTCGATCGACCCTTCCTCGAGAAAAAATAAGAACTTTATAGGAAAGTATTTCCCAATTTCTTTATATTGGGATAGTATTCAACTAGAAGTAAAACCCAAGAAGCAGATATGCAGATACATAAAGCTTTGATGGCTATTAATGAAAGCCTCGTGTATGTTTTTCTCAACCCTTCAATTAATCATGCACATAAGGATTTTCCAGTGACTATAAATGAAAGTGAGTTGCACGTTATAAATGGGATTCCGCAGCTTATTTTTGTCTGTTCATCTATACTATTGAGACAGTGGAAGCAGAACGAATCTCAGTTGACTATGTTGCCCACCTTAAACTAAATTTCTTTTATTTTGAGAGAATTTCTTTGGTTTGGAGAGAATTTCTATATGAAGTCCAGAGAAAATTTGACTAGAGAAATTTTTTGTGAACCAGAGTTTATCTAAACTAGAATTTCTCTGTGAATTCCAAAGAAAATTCGACCAGAGAAATTCTCTGTGAACCAAAATTTCTCTGTGAGCGATGTTCGATTGCTTGGATTGATGTTCATGATAAGTGATTTTCCTTAAGACCTTTGTTGATGGCAGTGAAGTATTTGCAAATATTTCCAGAGATCCGAAGATTGAAGTCAAGAATATGTCTTCTTCGTATCCGAATATTGAAATTTCAAATGTCATTGAAGACTTGGCCAAACAAGTTTTCTGGTTCTGAAGCTTATGGAATTAGTATCTAGTTGTCTCTATTTTTGGTGTTTGAGTAATTCAATTTTCTCTAGATTGAAATTTTCTCTGGTTGTTCAATTTTCTTTAGATTGAACTTTTCTCTGGTTGTTCAATTTTCTCTAGATTGAACTTTTCTCTGATTATTCAATTTTCTCTGGATTGAACTTTTCAGTCCATGTTTAAGCTCGCCAACTATTTGATTATTTCTCTTCAATCCCTCTCTCCTCATTCCCACCAAATTTTTCTGGTTTAAACTAGAGAAATTCTTTGGTATGAATTGAAATTTTCTGGTTTGGAATTCTATAGTTTATTTGTGTATATTTATTGATTTCAATGCTCACCAACCATGATATGCAATGGTTTGGTTTTGAGTAAATTGTAAGCTCATGATGAGATTACAGATGTTTGGGATTTGAAAGATTCTAACTTGTTTGCAATATATGTTAAAAGAGTTCGAATCCAGTGAAATTTCAATTTCCTTTGTGATGTGTCTAGATAAATTATCTGGATTGAATTTTATGATGTTGAGGAACCTTAGACATTATAAAAATATTGAGAGTCTTTTATGGTATAAAATCTTAATATCAGGATCTTAAAAAAAATTTCAAATTATTTTAATTTTTTTCTAAATTAAAAAAAATGCGTGCACCGCCACACGTGTGAAACTATCGTAGCGTATTAATACCGCGAATAGCCCCTACGTACAGACTATAGTCACGCACGCTTCTACTGGTGTCTAAGCTCAAGACCAGACCAGAGCCGACCAGTAGTGTATCTTTCTTTCTGGATTGATCGATCAGTCGACGAAGACGAAGGTAACCGAAGATGAGGAAGCGAGATTTAGCGATTCTGATGCTCTGCGCTTTCGCGATCTTCTTCTCTCTTCAGGTTTCTATGATTCTCTTCACTCTTCTTCTCTACTGCTAACCACAGAAATGAATAAACCCTAATGAATACTGGAATTCTATGTATTCGAAACAGTTGTACTGAATTGAATTTACTAAAGTCGTCTTCCATTAAATTGTCATCTAATCGATTCTGATTGTGTTGTTTGTGTGAATTTGTGTATTTATATATGTACACACGCGCGCTTGATTCCAGCACGAAGGTGATTTTTCGTTCAGAGAGGCGTGGTTTCATCTTTCTGAGGAATACCCAATCAAATTTGAGGCTGAGCGTCTCCCCCCGCCTATTGTCGCTGATCTTAATGGAGATGGAAAGAAAGAGATTTTCGTGGCCACTCACGACGCCAAAATTCAGGTGTAATTTATTATTAGAGCTCACCACCTGTTTTTGCTTGCTTGCTTGCTCGTTCTGTCGTTTATGCCTCTAATCTTGTGTCCATTGATGAAATTTTTATTTGTTGTTCTGGGTGCTCATCTTTTGTGGCGTGGATTTGATTTTATTTGATTATTACAATTTAGATATCACAGCTACAGGGTCTGCTCGGCTCTGCTCTGATGAGGGAAAGGAAAGTACCAAAATTTTTTCTTTTTGCCTAAAACTCATTTAGATTAGACGTAATAATATCCACTTGTTAATTCAATTAGCACAGTTAGATGGAGGACTGGGCCTATGCTTCGAGATTTTAGGAAAGATTAATGTTAACTGTGACATCAGAGGTTGGGCCACGCCGGCGAATCCTTTTTCTACGCAGTCGGTCTTTTGAACTGGAGGAGGCGGCGATGGATGCGATTGGGCGCCGGAGTTTATCGATTGTGGAAAGGGGTTAGTGGCTTAGAAGGGCGGTACTGCTTGTTGGCTTTGAAGTATGTTGGCTGGTGGCGAAAATGCGGAAGGCTTCGTTGGACCCCGGAACCCTCCAATTTATGGGACGGCTTAGTGGCGGTTGTCATAGTGTAGCAATTTGGGTTCGCGGTGAGGAAGAGGGTGGGTCATCCATGCAAATAGTGGTGACGGAGGGGAAGCAGAGGGCCCAGCTTTTCTTTTCAATGTCTGCCTTTGGCAATGGGGTAAGGGGATCTGGCTTTGGTTATTGAAGGGTTTGGATTAGGTGATGGTTGGGTAAGGCAACCTGGTGGTGTACGGGGGATGGGGCTGCCTAATTCTAGGCCCATGGTAGTGGCAAATCACGGCATGGCTACCGAGGTTCAGGTGGTGCACACAGCGGTGGAAGGTGAGTGGTTTCAAATACTAGATAGATTGTTGGTGGGACAACTGAGGGGCATGGGTGGTAAAGGCTTGAGCTTTGCGGCTATGTCAGACAGGGTCCGTCGACGGTGGAAGGCGTCGGGGTAGGTGGAGGTGTGTCCACTTGGTGATCAGGCTTTTTTGTTTGTTTTGTCTACCAGACGTGAGGCAGAGGCTCTATTGCGTCGGCGTTGGACTATTGATAGTCGTGATTTGCTGTTGGAATAGTGGACACCCTTGACCCTCTGCACTTCGGGGACGAACTCGACACCAGGATTGAAAGTATGGATCTGAGTGACGGGCTTGCCGCTCCATCTTCGTGGAAAGGAGGTTTATTGTGTGATTGGCGACCAGTGTGGTGGATTTGTGGAGGCGGATGAGTCATCGGCAGATTTGGGCTCTCTTCGACTCTTTGTGAGGGGTTTGGAGAAGCTGCCGACGGTTGTCTCACTCTTGTGGGGATCGTAAACCTGCGGCGTTGTCCGCCGGCGAGAGGTGGTGGCTCTGGTCTGGGAATGGAAATGTGAGATTTGAGGCGGCTGAACCGACGATTCGCGAAGATTGTGGGGGTCAACGAATATCAGTAGAGATTTGGGTGACCCATTGATTTTAAGGGCAATCGAGTTCGGGTTAGTCCTAATACCTAAGGTGGTTTTGCAATGGGCTCAAGAAGGGTTTTACCAGGACAATAGTTGGCCCATTCTGAGGCCGTTGTTGGTGTTTCTTTGGGCTAGCAAAGGTGGGCTTCGGTCAATCACCATCCAGCAGTGGGCCTTGCTTGTGGAAAGGTCATTATGAGCCCCTATAGGTGTGGTTTAGGTTCAGTGGAGAAAGGTTCAGCCTTACCCAAGCCGGGTCAATCCAATCCAAAACTCAGTCGGGTTTCTGCTTCCCTTCGCGACGGGTTGGAGTTTCGTCGGACTCATACTGACATGGGAGCGTCGTCGGAGTCCATGCGACCTCATGCGAGGGTTGCTGCGGAGGGTTTCAGAGGCTCATTACAGTCGCCTGTGTCTGCTGCTGGAGTTTCTCTGACGCACTGTGCTGATCTTGCGGGTTGCAGGGAAGGGCGCGAGATAGAGGGGAGTGACGACGAAGGTCGCTGGGCCACAATGGTAGATAAGTTGGCGTTGGTGGTCCAACCCGAGGTGGTAGCTGCTGGGGTAGCCGTGGGAGATGTTGCGGTTGAGGAGGGCATTTCCAACACAGCAGTGGACTTCCAGGAGGATGTGATACCGAGTTCTGAGGAGGTATCGAGGTGGGTCCTTTCTCGCATTAATGAGGTTAGCCAATTTCTGGGGGTGTCTTTTGAAGGTCATGACCATGAGGCATTTGCATTATTTTCTGCCATTGAGGGCTCCTGGAGGGAGAGTGCCCTGAACTGCCAAGTGGTGATGCCTATGAAACAGAATAGGAAGAGTGTTAGGGAATTACGAAGATTGGAATGTTCTATCAATTATGATCGAAGTGAAGATAGGGATGGGCGGGCTGCTAGGAAGGGTCATGGCAATCCATTGTTGTTGCAATGCGGTTAAAAATGTTGACTTGGAATGTGCGTGGCTTAAATGATAGGGGAAAACGGGTGATGGTGAAATCTTTGTTAAAAAGCGTGCGAGCGGATGTGGTTTGTCTACAGGAAACCAAGATGGAGAGTTTGGGGGGAGAGATGGTTAGGGAGGTGTGGGGTGGTCGGTTTGTGGATTGGACGTTTTTACCTGCCCAAGGGTTGGCTGGGGGAGTTCTTCTTTGTTGGGATAGGAGGGTGGTCGTAAAGGAAGAGGAGGTGGGGGCTTTTCCATTTCTTGCCTTTTTCGATGTGTTGAGGATGATTTCCGTTGGGGCTTTAGAGGTGTTTATGGGCCAGTTCGTGGAGGGGAGCAGATTGGTTTTTGGGAGGAGCTTCACTACATTGCCTTTCTGTGGGGGGTTCCATTGTGTGTAGGTGGTGACTTCAATGTGGTGAGGAGTTTGGAGGAGAAGAGGGGGGCAAGCTCGGTAACGGCTTCCATGCGGACGTTCTGGTCGTTCATTGATGAGGTGGAGTTAGTGGATCTTCCGATACAGGGTGGTGCATGTACATGGTTTGGAGGTGGAGTGACGTCTCGGCTTGATAGATTTTTGGTGACAGGGGACTGGGAGGAGCATTTTTCATACGTGACCCAAACACGTTTGCACCGTCCAGTTTCCGATCATTGGCCAGTCTTGTTAGATAGTGGCGGTATCTGGAGTGGGCCGATGCCGTTTCGGTTTGCGAACATGTGGTTGTTGTTTGAGGGTTTTTTGGAGCGGGTAAAGGGCTGGTGGGATAGTTATGTGGTCTTAGGCTTGCCCAGCTGTTGTCTGGCGCAGAAATTGAAACTTCTTATGTCCGATTTGAAGAGATGGAATAGGGAAGTGTTTGGGTGCTTGGAGGTTCAGAAGGCCGATGTGCTCGCAGTGTTGCAGGAGTTGGACGACATAGAGTCTGCGGGGGTATTGTCTGCGGCGGATCTTTGTCGTGGAGATGATGTCCGTAAGGAGTTTGGCCAGGTTGCCTGTATGGAGGAGGTCAGCTTTCAGCAAAAATCTAGATGTTTGTGGTTAAAGGATGTTGATCGAAATACAAAGTTTTTTCATCATATGGCGAATGCCCATCAGAGGGTGAATCAGATAGGTCGTATGCATGTAGATGGTGTGGACTTGTCTTCTTCGGATGCGGTCAGGGCCGGTATTGTGGTCTTCTATGAGCACCTTTTTCGGGAGGAGGGGGAGGTGGGAGGCCAAGCCTAGATGGCGTTCCTTTTGATGTTATTTTAGACATGGGTAGTTGTGGGTTAGAGCGCCCATTCACAGAAGATGAGGTGTTGGAGGCTTTGCGGAGTATGCCTGGGGATAAGGCATCGAGTCCAGATAGTTTTACTTTAGCATTTTTTCAGCATTGTTGGGAGGTGGTGAAAGCCGATGTGATGGCGATGCTTGAGCAGTTTCATCAAACTGGGGAGTTTGAGCGTAACCTTAATGCCACGTTTATTGCTTTGATCCCAAAGAAGGGTGGGGTGGAGGATATTCGGGACTTTCGACCTATTAGTCTGTTGGGCAATGTGTATAAGCTTTTGGCGAAAGTGCTGGCTAATAGGTTACGAGGTGTGTTGGAAGGGGTCGTTTCCGAGTCTCAAAATGCTTTTGTGGGTGGGCGGCAAATTCTAGATGTGATTTTAGTGGCAAACGAATGTGTGGATTCTGGACTCCGACAAGGGCAGGCGGGGCTTATTTGCAAACTTGATATTGAGAAGGCTTATGATAATGTTAATTGGAAGTTTTTACTGTAAATGCTGGACATACTCGGTTTTGGGGTTAGTTGGAGGCGTTGGATCCAATTATGTATTTCCACGGTGCGGATGTCAATTTTTGTGAATGGATCTCCACCGGGTTTCTTTCCTACCTATAGGGGGCTCCAGCAAGGAGATCCTTTATCTTCTTTGTTGTTCATATTGGTGATGGAAGCGTTGGGGCGGTTGTTATCTCGGGCGGTGCAGGGAGGACGGTTGCAGGGGTTTGTGGTGGGGATGACTCCCACAATTTTGTCGGTTTCCTATTTGTTCTATGCAGATGATGCGCTTATTTTCTGCGATGCGGATGTGGATCAGATTGGTTATACTTGGGATTACCTTTGGGTGCGTCTTTTAAGGCTAAAGGGGTGGGATGGGGTGGTGGACCGAGTGCAATGGCAGTTGGCAGGATGGAAACAACAGTATCTATCAAAAGGGGGGAGACTTACGTTGATTAAGAGTGTTCTATCTAGTATTCTGACTTATTTTATGTCCGTCCATGTGATCTCGGTGTCAGTGGCCAAGCGGATAGAGCAGTTGCACAGGGATTTCTTATGGGGTACTGGGGAGGGAGGGTTCTCATTATCACTTGGTGGCCTGGGATCGGATTTGTCGTCCCAAGGTGCAGGGGGGTTTGGGGATTTGAAGGTTGGTCTTGTTCAATGTGACCCTGTTAGGGAAATGGTTGTGGTGTTTTGTGGCAAAGCAGGACCGTTTTTGGAGAAGGGTGGTGGTAGCAAAGTTTGGTGTGAGGCATGGTGGGTGGTGTTCAGGGCAGGTGGGGCATTCTCATAGTCATGGTTTATGGAAGGGGATTTGGTTGGGGTGGGAGGGGATTTGGAAGCAGGTGAAGCTCAAGGTTGGGGTAGGGGATAGGGTTCGGTTTTGGCGAGATTGGTGGTGCGGTGACCTCACTTTAGAAGAGCGGGTTCCCTTTGACTTTTGGTATTGTCGTTGATGCTGAGGTTCTTGTGGATACTGTGTGGTCTGGCCAGGGGGTTTCGACTATTTGTAATGTGGGACTGCACCGTGCTGTTCAGGATTGGGAGCAAGGTCAGTTTGTGGAGTTGCTGGATTTTTTATGAGTTGAGAGTGGGGAGGTTGGGCGGGACTCTTTGGTATGGGAATGTCCTGGGGCTAAGGGCACATTTTCTGTATCTTTTTATTATGGTGTGCTTGCTCATGAGGAGGTGCTTGCTTTTCCTTGGAAGTGTGTCTGGGTTCCGGGTACGCCATCCAAGGTGGCCTTTTTTGTGTGGACGGCTATGTTGGGGCGTATTTTGACTTTGGATAATTTAATTCGTCATGGCCACATATTTGGTTAATTGGTGTTGCTTGTGTTGTGGTGCTGCGGAGTCAGTGGATTATTTGCTCATTCATTGTCCGGTATCTTCTCGCCTTTGGATGTTAGTTGTTGCGACTTTTGGTTTGGCTGGGGTGCAGCCGGCGTCGGTTCAGGTAGTCCTGCATAGCTGGGCAGGGGGTCGAGTTGGGAGGAGAAGTCGAAAGGTGTGGATGCTTGCTTCTCATTGTATTCTATGGTTGGTTTGGTTAGAGCGAAATGAGCGCGTTTTTGAAGGACTATCTCATTTAGTCCTTTGGTTAGAACGACGGCTTCTTACGATATTGTATGGTTGGCTGACTAGATCGGTTGATCCGGATGTTTTGGCTTTTTTAGTATTCATGGAGGATTTGATTTGTTAGTTGGATTGTTTGTGGAGCCTCTATGGCTTCCTTTTTTGTATTCTTTGCATCATCTTGATGCTTTTCAATAAAGTTTGGTTATTTATCAAAAAAAAATAAATAATAATATCGACTTTCTCTAACTAACCTTACTTTGCTTGAGAAATGAATCTTTGTGTACTGGTGTAGAATATGGATGGATGGACCCTTGTTTTTATTGTTTTCATTTAATTGATAAATAGAAAGACTCTTTTTTGTTGTGGTCCTTTTTTTTTTTAAATTTTTTTTTAGACTACTACATGATTTATTATAATAATAGTGTTACATCTCGTAGTTCCTAGCAAGAAACGACATCCAATGTTGTGGGTCGTGAGACTGTTTGTTTTGATGGAATGACAGTGTTATACCCCTAGTTTGGGTTTATGTTTACTTTTGATGAAGGCCTGTGAAGAATTGTTATGTGAGACAATAAACCTCTTTCTTATAGCTTTTCCTCTGGCTACCCACTTTTCTTGGTTTTTCCGAGTGTGAAAGTTCAGACTCCACCCTTACAGGTGCCTTAGGCATTTAAGGTTATTGAATCTCTTCGTACCCATTTCTCCTTCTTCTCCTTGGTATTAAGCATACAGGTGCCTTATTGACCAATGGTCTTTTAATCCATCATTTCTGGTGCTCCATATGCTTACATGAAGAGCGAAGGTCCTTTTTTATTTTAGTTCTCCACTCAATATTGCGGCTTCTTGGTTCATGCTCATTTTGTATGCTGAAAACTGGGTTTAATTTACTGCATTTTTTATTTTTTATTTGGGTTTCATTGAGTTTGATGTGGATAATACGGCGTAAATTGTTGGCATTTTGATGGGGTTGAGAAAGCCTTGTTATAAGTTGAAATATTGTTCATTGACGCATTCGTATAGGTGTGTGTTTTAGGGTAAATAACCCAATGGTTGAGGATTTTTTGATTTTATGGAGAATATTTCAGATTGAGTTAGTTATACCTGTTGATGTATATAGAAGCATCCCTTTGATGCCTTGTAGTAATTCTCTCTTACCAAATATTCACCAACATGAGGTGTATACTTATTTTGTTTTGGTTGGTTATACACGTGGATGTTCACAGGTGGCATCCCCTTTTGATTCCCCTTAGTAACTCTTACTAATCAAAAACATTCTTCAGTGACGCAAGGTGGATTCATAACATTCTCCATGTCTTGGAGCTGCTTTGTTGCTAGCCAATGCCATTTTCCCTTCATTAATATTTTTGCCATATATCAATACTACAGTCAGATGTTGTTTTCTCATCTCTTATTGGGCATCTAGGTTTTGGAGGCCCATGATAGGCGTGTGGATGAAGGGTTCAGTGAAGCACGTGTTCTTGTAGAGGTGACCTTGTTGCCTGACAAGATCCGTGTTGCATCTGGGAGACGTGCTGTGGCCATGGCCACAGGAGTTGTTGATCGGTTTTATAAGCCGGGGCAAGTACAGAAGCAGGTCCTAGTTGTTGTTACATCAGGTTGGTCTGTAATGTGTTTTGATCACAACCTCAAAAAGCTATGGGAGACAAATCTGCAGGTGTGTGACTTCCATTTCACTGTCTGTTCCTAAATACTTGATGAAATTATGATGCCTGGTATAATGTTTTTCTATTTAAAAAATGACTTGTGTTTTTGTTATAAAATTTTAATTTATTTTCTTTTGGTTTTACTTACCCTTATTTGTTTTTTGCAGGAGGATTTTCCCCATAATGCTCACCATAGGGAGATAGCTATCTCAATAACTAATTATACCCTAAAGCATGGAGATGCAGGATTGGTAATTGTTGGTGGAAGGATGGAAATGCAACCCCATGTATGTTTCATCTCTCTTGGTCTTTTATATGGAAGATTAGTCACTGTATCTTTACCGGTGTGGATGATTCTTTCTATAGAGCTTATTTTGACTTTATTTGCTTACAATCTAATCCATCACAAAGTTGAAGAACAGGAAAAAAAAACCCGCATAATGAAACCTGCTGGATCATGTTCTATTGCTTTATGAATATCCTTGATCTTTCTCGATTCAAGGATTGGCAAAGATGTAAATGTTTTCTATCAAAACCAGATGTAAAACTTGGTAATAGTATTGCCAATAAAAATAAGATTATAAGTTTGTAAATTTTGTTGACCAGAAGAGGACATTGTGGCTTTTACATGGGGTAAATTTTTCAACAGGCAGGAATAGAGTTGGTTAGTCAGAAATTTGAAAATTTATAATTGTAGTGACTACTGCTGCTGATCGTGCCCTATTCCTTTTAAGTGAGAAGTTTGGGCTTTTGAAGATTGAAGTGAACTTTGTTACTGGGTATAGTCATCAAACTTTCGATTGAGTTGATAGGATTTGGCATTTCTTTCTTTATTGCTTCATCGTCTTGCCATCTTCCAGTTTCCATCTTTCTCGCCATGCTTGCTTAAAAAAATATGCTGTTAACCTGGGTCAGATTGTAATTTTATATATTTACAGTTAGTGTTATTTTTGTTTTCCCTTGTCCCAGGGGAAACTGGAATTAGATTTTTGTCAATACCTGAGTTTCCTGTCGTCTTGCATTTAATCTGTTTCTAGATAAATGCTGTTAAATACTCAATTTATGATATTGAGAATTCACAATATCATTCTTCTCCATGATTCTCTCATAGTAATCTTTTGTTACTGTTTCAGATGTTTGTGGATCCCTTTGAGGAAATTGGAATGGCAGAAAAAAATGCTGAGCAACATAGAAGAAGTGCTAATGAAAAGGAAGTAAGGATATTTTGTGTTAGGAACAGTAGCCTAGTATTTGGTAGTCTTTATGTTTATATAGTGTTATTTTCAGTCTTGCACATAGTAGCTCATAGTTATCCAGAAATTCTATTTGACAAGGGTATAAGATTAAATAGGATATTTTAAGAATTGTCAAGAGCTTTAAGAATAGCAATATAAATTATTTATCAAAAAAAGAAAAGAAAAAAAGAATAGCAATATGAAGTATTAGAATACTTTCATGATCAAATGAAATACTAATGCTATACAATATCTATTTCTAACATGAGAGCCCAAAAAGACATAGCCCTATATTCTCATAACTGTGAACTAGCTTACTTCCATTGTGCTTATTTGAAGTCCTTCAGCTTGACATTTGTATACAGTATTATTTATTCTTTGTGAAAAATGAACTTTATTTACAAAATAGAAGAAACCAAGGCACTTTGAAACATGGGAAATATTTCTTTGTCTGCCTATATTGTCTGTTTTTGAATCATAATTAGCTGTACACATTTATTTTTCTTGATTTTGCTGAATTCATTTCTTTTTTCATGCCTATTTATTCAAAAGATCTGTTTATCTTGAATGTATTAGCAATGACACGATAGTTAAACAAGTTTATATGCCATTCTTCTCTGGTTTGGCTGCAGAATATTTATGGAATGTTTTCTTTATGCATTAGGCTTCTGAGAATTCTGGAACCGTGGATATACGCCATTTTGCCTTTTATGCATTTGCTGGTAGAACTGGCACACTTCGATGGAACAGAAAGAATGAGGTCAGCCCTTTCTGTTTTTACATTTTTTGTCTCTGACATTTCTTCAATTTTCCTAATCAGAGTACTAAACTTTAGTATCAATTATATTGCTCTTTTGGGAAAGATATCATTTCCAGCCCAAAAACAATAATAAAAACCTATAATTTTTTTGCTATTTCTTACTATTCTTTGTCATTCTTGTCAAATAGCAAAGCCATCCATGTAAGTTGCAGTGAATCTTTCATGTCAGTTAACCATGTCATTGTAGAGAGTTGCTTAATTTACTGACGTATTCCGAAATTATGCAATCAAAGTTCTGATTATTTTTTTTAACTAGTTTGTGATTTATCTTGAAAAGTCATTGTTATGACCATTTCAAAACTTAGTAGAGCCTATTTTAATGTTTTTGCTTCTAGAAATATACAAGAGTTCTATAGAATTTGGGTAGTGATTGGATTTATTCTTTTTGGGTTAAATTACAAATACACACCTTGAGATTTGCTTAAAATATGAATTTTCTCATGTAGTTCTAGAAATTACATCTTGCCCCTAATCGCATAACAAATAACCCGTTTTATTAAATAATTATTAAGTCAATTCTTAGTTGTAGGAATTGTGCAACCAGGTGACGATTCTTACTCAGAATCGCGATTCTGCGTTTCCTAAAAAGAAACTTGTAAGAATTGTGTTTTTGTGGATAGAGAAACGTGATTCAGTCCAAGATGGGATCGTAAAGGGGGAAAGAGAGAGAGAGAGGCAGAAACCTGGTCGCGCGACTTTGACCTTCGCTCTAGCCCTAGCCCTAATCCTTGACGTCGACCTTTGCTCTAGCCCTAGCCTTCGCGTTCGTCTTCTCTGTCTTCATCAAAGCAAGGTAAAATGTCTCCTTAGGTCATTGGAATAGTCTCAAAAATCTAGCACTGGTCATTCATATGAAAAGTTCATTAAATTAACCTATTTCATGAATCTAGCACAAGTTTCAAACACATAAGACACATAAATCCACTAAGAAAGCAATATGAGTAAACAGAACATAGCATATCTAAACCACAAATTCCAAGCATGGTCAAAAGAGGCTTATGCCCTATTTTCAATCTTCAACTCAATATAAATTAGCTATTTCATAAATTTAGCGCCAAATGACCTGAAAATGAATGTTTAAAATGAATATTTATTTTTAAATTTTTTATATATATATTTTAAAATTTATAACATATATTTTCATTATCATTAAAGAAAAAAATATATATAATCTTACAATATATTTTTATATATTATATTATTTAATATATATACAAACGCTCCCTACCAATGATTCTTGGAATGACTACGATTTTTTGCTCCCGCTTCGTGCAACTAAGAGTCAATTAACAGTTTTTAATGATGTCAGAAATATATTTTAATTAAGAATTCAGGTAATTTTATTGTTGTATAAGGGAGTAGTTAGGAATTTCAATTTTTTTTTTTAAATTTTATTAAATAAAAACAATTATGACAATAGGGTATTTGTAATTTTCAGAATCATAGGGGACAATCCGTATTTTAAGCAAACTTCAAAGGGTGTATTTGTAATTTATCTTTTTTTTGGATGTTATTTTGATTTAGTTTGTAGCATTGATGGTGGTGTGACAAACAGTGTCATATGAATAAGATCTGGGCAAGAACTTTGGATTAAAGTTTAGCATCCAATCAATATTGTTGTTGTGATACTTCTACAAGGTATCTCATATTCGCTAACTTCATTTACTTGTTATAGAATGTTGAGGCACATTCTTCAGATGCATCGCAGTTAATTCCACAGCACAATTACAAGCTTGATGCTCATGCTTTGAACAGTCGTCATCCTGGAGAGGTATGTTGTGGAGCAGTTTTAAGACTATATTTTGACATAGATGTTGTAAATTATTAGGAATGTTGTTGACACAAGTTTTGAATTTTTCATACATGTTTGACAAATTTTGTTGAGAAAAATATAAAAGGTTTTGTTTGGCAATTTTAATAAATACTGATATTAGTACTGTATTAATATTATCATTACTTGTCTAAGAAAAATTTTAGACCTTATTTTGTTGGGGGTCTTTCACACTTTAGAATCATTTACACTTGTGTTTAATAAAATTGAGTTATTTGATAACTCTAAACAATTTTTGCTTAAAAAAAACTTGATTTTTTTACAACAATTTCTTTTATGCCCTGCATCAATTATAAACAATTTTAATTTGCAAAAAGCGACTAATTGGCTTGGATGCAACAGATCTATTTCTGCATATTTTCTGGTGGAATATCTCATACATATTTTGAACATGACATCAAGACTTTATTTATTGTGTTATTGCTACATATAGATTTATAGAGATCGCTATGAATGAGTCAAATGGTTCAGAGGTGTCTTGTCGTCTGCACATACTCATGCTGCAAGTATTTTTTTAATCAGGATAGGCGGGAAGATACTTTGTTAAAGCTGGCACATTTCAGGCGGCACAAAAGGAAAACGTTGAAGAAAAAAAATTGAAGGGACAATTTTATGCCTGTCACATTCCTTTTTGAGATACCAACAATTCATGTGCTGGAAGAGCCTTTACAAGATTGAAGAAAAAAAATTTCTTCAGGTCATGGAAAGCTTTCTTTGTTGTTGAAGGGAACTTAATGGTGCCAAATCCTGCTGTTAAAATTTGAATTGCACTCTTGTCTGGTTGTGCCTGTGACTGTTTAGGAGGTCGGGGGAAGTTCTTTCATATTTTAAGCATTAAGAATTGGGGTTGAGGATATAGAGCTGGATGGTGATGGCTTTCTGCAAATATTTGATGGATGTGTATTTGTTGATATCCCAAAAACCCAGGAAGAAATGTGGAAGACAAAGTTCTTTGGAAAGAGGCTATTGGGTTCATTTCTTTCACTTAAACTAGAAAAAGCACTGATTGAGTTGATTGGTCTCTTTTGAAATAAGATGAAATTAAATGAAAGATGAGTTCTAGGCATATTTTATATGATTTGTCATTAGGGCTGTTCATGAGGCGGTATTGGATTGGTTTTCCCATCAACCCACTAACCGGCCTGGCTATGACGGGTTGGCAATGTAATCAACCGCTTTTGACCAATGTGGTATTTGAAATCAACCACTCGAAATATACGGGTTTGCGGTCAGTTGCAGTCGAGTTGCACGGGTTGCAAAAAATCACAAACACATAAGATAAAAGAATCACATAACAAAATAAAATCTAATCCCAACAAACAATCAATCCCAGATGGGAAAGAAGATATCACAAAACAAAAAATGGAAAGAAAAAGAAAAGAGGGATTGAAGGAATGATTCGGGAGGGATGAAGAAATCAAAGAACAACAAAATAACGAAAGGAAAGAGGAAGGAACAGATTTAAAAGGAATGAAAATGGTTGTTCTACAACTTCAACATGGATAAGGAATGATTTGGGAGGGAGGAAAAAAATCAAAGAACAACAAAATAACTAACGAAAGGAAAGAGGAAGGAATAGATTTAAAAGGAATGAAAATGGTTGTGCTACAACTTCAACAGGCCTTCATCCATTGTGCAAGTTGTTTTCGATTGGACGTTGTTCAACATCAACTCACCAAGAATAGCCCAACTTAGGGTTTGGCCTGTCATCATCGAGTCACTAGATGGGTTTTGGAAATTTGAATAATCGAAGTGGGAGAGTTGTCTTGGAGGAGAGGGTGGGTATCGGGGGTGAAAAAAATTCAGATTTGAGAGGAGCAGAAGGGTGAGGGAGCGAGATTAGACACTGAGAGAGGGAGAAATACAAGAAGAGAGACGAAATGATAGAGAGAGAACAATGAATACATGAATGAATGAGAGAGATATAGAGAGGAGAGAGAAACTGAAGAGTCAGGAAAAGAAAAGGCATTGTTGGAATATGTGAAGTTGTCAAATTTGAAATGTGTAATGGCTTAGACTTGTTGGAGTGTGTAATGCCTTTAGAAATAATGACTGAGACTCGTTGGAATATATGAAGTAGTCAGGTGATAATGGCTCAGAGATAATGGTGTAATATGGAATACCAATAGAAAAATGACAGGTATATAACTTTTCTAATAATTATCTGTCAGATTGGGTTTTGTCTGTTGGGATGCCTTTTAAACCAAAGGCTGTCTGAATTTTTTATTTACTTCTGTAACTCCTAGCCGACCGTCCCTTTCTACGAAACTGACCATTTCCTGATTTTTCAGATCGGATTGGTCGGTTTGGGCGGGTGATTCTGATTTTTGTCCTATTTGTCATGCTTGTATGTATGTGCGTGTGCTTCCATTTATGGTAATTTCATATAGAAATGTGTATGTTTATCTGCCACTTGTTCCCTGCTTACCTCGCACGTCAAATCTTATAGAGTTACTTACACTCTGGATGGGATTGCACTTAATGTTACTGAAACATTTAAAATTGTAGTTTGAATGTAGGGAATTTAGAGAATCAATACTCGGAGTCATGCCTCATCAATGGGTAAGTACGATATGACAATTCACTTTCTTCTGTTCCTAGTTGTTACTTACTGTTGATAGATAGTGACTCATGCTGCAAGTATTTTTTTAATCAGGATAGGCGGGAAGATACTTTGTTAAAGCTGGCACATTTCAGGCGGCACAAAAGGAAAACGTTGAAGAAAACAAGTGGGAAAACTACAAATTACCCTTTCCATAAGCCTGAGGAAAACCATCCTCCGGGGAAGGACTCAACAAAAAAAATTTCAAACCTGATTGGAAAAGCTGCAAAATATGCTGGTTCTGCAAAATCCAAAAAGGTGATTTTTGCCAACTGTTTCTTCTATATATGACTATACTTTTAAATCTTGAATGTTCAGAGAATATCATGCCAAATAGGAACTTTCTTCTTTTCGAGCAGAACTGAGACCATTGCCTTGAAAAATGGTTGGAGGTTGTTGAAAATGCACCAGTTATATCAATTGTAATTTTGTTTCTATTCTATCGGGTGAATGGGAAGTGTACTGACGGAATAAACATCAAGCATATTCACTTTGCTTTCATTTAAGCTTTGACCATGGAATAAACATCAAGCATATGAATTGGAAGTCAAAAGTCCTTTCTCTAAATTTAAGTTTGAACGTTAAATTTGGCCTTGAATTGAAACTTTGGTCACTCACAAAGTTAACATCGAGGAGTAGAAGCTTGAGGAGTTCAGTCGATCTTGATTTCAAGTTCTCTTATCCTGCAGCCAACAAAATTTAAAGAAGAAATTGAAAAGAAAAGAAAAGTTCTCTTATCTTGCTGTCTAGCTTAAAGTGCATCCTGTCATTTAATTAATAAATATATCACTAACCATTTTCCTCTGGTTAGCTTTTGTTGTCATAACTTCTTTTAATATGTTGATGCAGCCAATGACTTACATCCCTACCATAACAAATTACACTCAGCTTTGGTGGGTTCCTAATGTTGTTGTAGCTCACCAAAAGGAAGGGATAGAAGCTGTTCATCTGGCATCTGGCCGCACTATATGTAAGGTAGACATTATATCCACTAATCATTTCTTTTGTTTAACATATTATAATATTCTTGTACAAAAAAGTAAAAAAGAAAAAAACTTCCATGTATTAGAATGTAATTAGAACCAGACAAACTTCTAATAGCAAACTGTACTGTTACATATTCAATTTTTTTCTTCACATATCAATGTTCAATTTTTAGGGGTTATTTAATTGGTTAAATCAAATATTCTGTAGCATAAATAAGAATATGCTAGTGGTTCTCTATTTTCTACATTGTTCTGTTTACTTTTTATTAAGGGCTATCAGTAGCGAACATGTTTTTAATAAGCTCCTTTTATTTGTCTTAACCATAAAACAAATGCTCAGAGGCAGAAATGCATAGAAACAAGTCTATTAAGGACTTAAAAAGAGGAAGGTTCTATCAAGAACACTGATTGACAAGCTTCTTTTTTGTGCATTTTTACAGAAAAGCACACATGCACAAATATATATATATATATATATACTCAAGTTCTCTGATCGTGAGACCTATAGGGGACATCTGCAAATTGAAGGGAGACATCTGCAAGTTATGATAACATGGGGTGAAAGATTACTTGGTTCTAATGTTGCTATCATGAGACAAGCTAGAATTTTCCATGTTAGAATTTAAATCACCCCAAGAAATAAGGTTTTTATTGAGAGTGGCTTCTAAGATTTATTAGACTGAAGCCTGGAAGTCGGAAGTGGGTAAGAAATATCACTCATTGAGTAGATGTTGTCATCATGGTAGAATAGGAGACTTGAAAATATGTAGTGTACTATGGGGTATAATTCCACAAAATATTAAAGTTCTTTTTCTCATGAAGATAATGGTAAGAAATTAGATTTGAGAATTTAAAAAAATATGAAAGTTGGATTATTTATCAAAAATATATATATATATATATGAAAGTTGGAAGGGGTTTGTGAAATGAAAACCTTCTCTTTGACAATCAGTATCAGCTTTCTGCCAAGAAAGTTATTTTAGGACCTACAGTCTGCATTGTATCATCATTGTAGCTCCTTTGAGTTGCAATATTACTCAAAAACTTTCTGATGGCATATGAAAAATGTTGGCTGTAACGGTACAAGTGCAATGAAAAACCTGTTGTCTAAAATGGGAGACCAACAAGAAGCAGGTTTTTTTTTGGGAACTGCAACAGTAAGCAGTTTAGAATGGTAGGAGAATCATTTCTTCTTGTCTAAAACTTGTAAAATATATATTCGAGTTATGATGGTTTTAGAATCTTGGTAGTTTTGTGCTGTGAAGCCTAGGGAACTTGGGTGGTAACTTTTTTTTTATTTTTTATTTTGGATATTGGGTGAGCTTGTGAAGTGTGTTTGTTCAGAGTGAATTTTTGTATGATCCTCATAATTGTATGTATCGGTATTACTTTTTTGTTTGTAATCCCTGTGTAGAGAGGTGCCATTCGCCTCCACATGTACTTGGTAGTTTCAAAATGTTTAATATTCTTGCCTGTCAAATTAATTGTTGCGTCACCACTAACAAATTTAAGGTAATCCTTTGATTTCACCTAGCTTCATCTTCAAGAAGGTGGCCTCCATGCTGATATTAATGGAGATGGGGTCCTAGATCATGTTCAGGTAACTTTCAACTCAGTGACTTGTCTCAAAATTTTATTGTCTCTGTATCATGCAATACACTAAAGAAATATGCACTAGTGTTTATTGAAATTCAATGCTTTCCAAAAAGCAGTGTCCTCTTTTATTGCCCTTGCTTTTCAAACAATAGCTACAGGATTCCATCACATTGCAGAGATAGTTTTCATATGACTGTCTTTTGCAACTAATTATTCTCTTATAAAAGTGCTTCTACTTAAAAGTGTACATTTTCATTCTCCATGTACAAAACACCCATGAAAATTGAAAGTAAGAAGGAAATTTAACGATTGTATTTACAGGAGACATTGGTTATAATATCTAATATAATCTTGCTTCTGCTGTAGGTTGTCGGGGGAAATGGTGCCGAGCAGACAGTTGTGAGTGGATCCATGGAAGTGCTGCGACCCTGTTGGGCTGTTGCAACCTCTGGTGTGCCAGTACGAGAACAACTTTTCAATGCTTCCATATGTCATTATTCCCATTTTAACTTCTTCCAACATGGAGATTTCTCCAGAAGCTTTGGTCACAATCTAGATGTTAGTTCTTTAGAGGTTGCAACACCTATTCTCCTCCCGAGAAGTGATGGTCACCGCCATCGTAAGGGAAGCCATGGTGATGTTATCTTCTTAACAAATCGAGGAGAGGTATGCTTCTGCTCTGGATTTATTTCTCTACTTACCTCTATCAGCTAAACAAACAATAGTATTCTCTGCACGAACATTTGGCCTTCCTCAGCGCTTCCATTCAACCACCCTCAATCATCACAAATCTGCCGAACACCATTAGTTTCAGCTAATCTTCCTTGAAAATCTCTACCAATTCTCAACATTATCGAGGCTCCATCATATAGTTGATTGTTTTGCTTGATGTAGACATCATCATCTTGCCACAAATGACGTCTACATAAATTTACTTTTTTCCATGGGGCAGGGTGATGATGTCATTACAGGACTAAAAGTAGACAGCATTTCCTCATTAAAATGTTTCCAAAGCAAGGACACACCTAGACAGCTTGTAATTACTAGTTCCAATATGTTCTGTATAATTCAGATACCCGTCCCAATTTGATAAGCTCAATGCTTCAATAAATATGCTTGTTTCTTTTCTTGAAGAATTGAACACTAAAGAATGCCCTATATATATCTCTTTCAGGTAACATCATATGCTCCTGGCTTGCACGGCCACGATGCTGTTTGGCAATGGCAACTTGTTACTGGTGCTACTTGGTCAAACCTTCCATCACCATCGGGGATGATGGAAGCTGGTATGGTGGTCCCCACGCTGAAGGCATTCTCGTTGCGCGTGCATGATAATCAAGAATTGATCCTTGCTGCGGGAGATCAAGAAGCCGTGGTGTTATCTCCTGGAGGAAGTATACTGACGTCCGTTGTTCTTCCTGCCCCGCCCACACATGCCCTGATCTGTGACGACTTCTCAAATGATGGGCTGACTGACCTCATTCTAGTGACCTCTAGTGGGGTGTATGGCTTTGTTCAGACCAGGCACCCAGGTGCGCTCTTCTTTAGCACGTTGGTGGGCTGCCTCATAATTGTGATGGGAGTAATATTTGTGTCCCAACATCTCAATTCTATCAAGGGGAAACCTAGGGCTTCATCAGGTTCCCAATGAAACTGTGGTTTTGGTTTTGTGAATTTGTTTTCTATATTGGAGCGGTATATCGGTGTATCTCAGATATGAAGATCATCATCAGCCTGAAGAAATATAGTCATTGTCTCAAGTCTAGAGAGATCGTTGTTGGGAATGCTTCAAAGTTGGGGAACTACACTAGTTCAAGAGTTTTTATAGGTATGATGAACTAAGGTGAGCTTTCCAATCACAGTCTCCTGTAGCAGTTTCACTTTTGCTATTGAAAGAGCTCGTCAATGTAATTGTAGAACTTTGAACTGACTTCTTGTTTCTCTCTCTCTTCTTTTTTTTTTTTTAAACAAGATTTTGGATTAATTTATAGAAAGATCTTTTGTTTGCCCTTAATTCTGGCTTTCTAGTTCATGGGTTTAAAATTGATGTAGTTTTGTTTGCGCCTTGTCTCTACTTTTTATTATTATTTAAACACATGGGATCCATATTTTATCTCACATTTGTGTTTCATTATGGGAGAATCTTTTAGTGCACTAGACTTACTCTTTAACCTTATGATTAATTTTAGGATCACTTTCTATAGTGCCTTAGGAGGGCTAATACTGTTGTCTGTTGGAGATGTTTAGAATCTCTGAAATTTAGGTAAAGATGACTAAGCTTCTCTCAACTTTTGTAGACTTTAAATTATAAACTTGAATTTTATTTTTTACTTCTCGGAGATAATTAATTTTTAATAAAGTGAGGATATATTTGTAAAAGTCATAAAAATTTGTTTTTGGATTTGGGCAGTATTTCACTTTTATATATATGTATATATATGTATGTATGTATACTTCTTAAAAAAATTATAAATATGGCACATAATAAGAAATTGATTTTAATTTCATGTAACAAACAATAGAATTGATTACATTGGAGTATGATTTAATTCAAAAAACTAAACGTTATATATTTCAGATTAGTATATATTAGCAATAAAATTTAAATTACTTAGAATTGTAAACCCTCTTCAACTCGACTTGCTCAATTTAAGCTATCGTAAATTATCTCTACTTTCCATTTCTCTCTTTCCAATTTCACCGATAAAACCGAAAGGATTTGAATTTCTCGTAAACTAAAATGAATAATGTTGAAGGGTGCATGCATGGAACTCATACGACGAGTAGGAATAAAACTGGGCCATTGAATTGAAGGTATGTACATAAACGTTATGTGGCTGTGTCTTGTCTTACAAATAAATCCATTATAGATACACTAAACCATGTCAGCATGTACTTGGGTCCCACTCACCGATCTCTAATATTTTTTGGTTCCCTCATCACTCAATACTTAATTCAAAAGTCATAATTTAACAGCTATTTATTATTATATTTTATGACTTTTAAGTTTTGGATAATGACTAGAAGAAAAAAAATACATCCTCTTCCCTGAGGTATATGGATTCTCTCTTTGGAATTTTTGGACAAATATTGATACTGCACCTATGTGGTGGTAAAATTAATTCAATAGGAATTCCTATCATTTTCATCTAAAAATTTTGGTGTGTATTCAAAAAAAAGTTGGCTGATTTTCTTTTACCTCTACTAAGCTAGCTACTAGTTTCATGACTTTAATTTGAGCTGCAAATCCTACCCTAGAAACGGAGATGCGCACAATAATAGTTAGTTTGATTCTGCCACTGAATAGATCACTAGATAAGAATATGTTCATCAATAATGAAAATTACATTGGTAGGAATGTAAGTCGAAAGTTTTCCACTCTTATCCTCTCAAGTAGGGGCTACCTTGGGCGGACCTAACCTAAGTAATTTGAATCTAGTCTAAAACACTTTGGACATGTTTGATTGGATAGATTAACACATGGATTGAGATTATTAATCCGTGGGTCCAATTATCTATGTTTGTTTTAACATTTTGGTTTAGGATTATTAATCCAATAGATAATTAATCCAACAAATTTGTAAGATTATTAGTAATGGGGTAGGGGTGGGATTATTAATCCAATGGATAATTTATCCAATTGGATAGTAAATACCACACTAATTTGATAGAATTATTAATACCTCACTATTAGTCATGTGAATCAAACATGACCTTTAGGACTTAGACAATATAATATCAAGTTCAGTAAGGACTCAACTTGAATTAATTCGGACATAGTTTCAATATGAATTTCCTCAATTCCAACAAACCGGATAACCCAAATTCTATTATTAATATAAAATAAACATGAAATATTATAAATTACATTCACAATTTGTATTAGATCATATTACAATATAGTATAACACAACTCAAATTAATTTTCTTATTCTGCAACCCTACTGACAAGGGGCTTTTCTTTCTCACCCTCTCACTTGGGCTTTTTCTTCACTACGCTTTTGCTAGGGATTTGTTTCTCCGCATACATCAAAAAGTTTGTGTTGTGAGAGCAAGTATGCAATAAGTAGACAAAGTGAACATCAATTCTTCTTTTTGTTGCTCGAGGAAAGTGAGATGAAATCAAGAAAAGTGAAAAATAGTTTTTTTTTTTAATATTTATTTTTAAGCCTGGAAATATGAGATTCTCATCATCTATATATATATATATATACCTGTCTCTTGCAAAGTTGATGTAAACAGTACTAAAAGCATTGGGAAAAGCCAAAAGAAAATTCCAATCCAAACCTTATCATCATCATAATAATCTTTCTTTCGGCTCCATATGTTGCAATGGAAGAAACAAGTCACAACAATTCCAATGCTTTCCACTTTGTATGTTGAATTGGAAACAACTTTCATCCAATTAAAAATTAGTTAAAATCTAAAACCCACATGACATCAAACAATAAACATTTTGAAAAAGTATACTACTACACCCACACACATATCATACAATTGTGCTACGTGCACAAAAGGAACTAACCCCAGAATGCATAGATTGCAAACATTTTTTTTTCCTCACATCTGTGTATTCTGTATTCAATTCTTTCTGTGCACTTGGACTTTTTTTCATATATTGTATATATGGATGTTGTCACTCATCTAGAAAGTGAATAAACATGAGCTTTGATCCCGAAAATGGATCTAATTCAAATAAACCAATTGAGTGGATAATTTCTGAACCAACTGTATGACCGCACACGCAAGGAAGGGCAATAATATCAAATATTGGACCATGCAAGTTGCTGTTTCAATTTCTAAATCACAAATGAGACGTGGATTTCACAAAATGCTTTCAGTTGCCATATGTTATGGCATCGAGTCAAGGCTAACAAACTTTGCTTTGATTTGATATTTGAGGCATTCAAGAACATAACACTCACAATATTTTGTACCAAAAATATAATTTAAATATTTATTCTACCTAAAGATCATTGATACTATCATGAAATGAGGGACTGGAAACTAGCACCGAAAAAAAGTGTATGAAATCCATACAAGAATTTCTACATTGGTATATTTAACTATCTTATTCATTGTAACAACCAATAACTAATTCTACAAATGCACTATATATCAAGGAAAATAAATCCTACACATCAAGGACAAATACCTATTTAAATGATCAAATGAATGATATGCTCCCATATGGAGCTTATTTCTCACACTTAAACGAATCAATTCAAAAATTACAGGTGTACATGTGGTCTAAGTATTCACGATGGCATATCTTTATTTTCTGATAAACAAAGAGTACATCTGCTACAGGAATGAGTATTGCCCAAGAGAGGATTCCTATCACATATTGTATTTTACACACTTGACATATGTATTTATTATTGTCTTGTTTATGTAATGATTCTGTATATTGGTACTCACGACAGTATATTTATCATTGACAAATTTATAGTATGATAATGTCACCAATAGACTTCTAATTACTTCAACACACGCCCGAAAAGCCAAAGATGGGGACTAGTTTATGAAAGTTCCCACAGATGGTTTAGTCCCATGGACAAAGAAAACTTGAGCGGTGAAAACAGAAACAACGTTCTAAACTTGCATAGACTTAGTTACAGACTTGCAAAAAAAGAAATTTGATGACCGTTAAAGCAGTTTCAGCTTACAACCTTGCTAAGTCAAGGTGGTGTGTGAGTGAGCAGACGCGTATAGACGCATATGTATACGTGTTTTCATGTATATAAGCAATTTCCTTTGTAGTATAGTAATACTTTTTCTTAAAAAGATAAGAAATTTTGTCACCTAAAGTTTGGTTTGAGTTGGCTGTATAACCAATCAATAATATTACATTCTAAACATCAAGGGACCTACAATAAATATTAATTACTGCAGCACATAGTTCAATCAATACCTTGTCTGATGGAAGTGTTATTTGGCTGTAAACAAAAAATTATAGGTGGCTTTTTCGATTGAAGTGTTATTTTTGTTTAATTAATCATAGTAAACAAACATATCTTGAAAACATGTCGGTTAATAGACCACATGTGACTTGGAATTGCTCCTAACAGTAATGCCTTCATTTGCCGATAACCTTTAAGCCATATTTTTAGTAGATTTTTTTTTTTTGGGGTGCCTTTTTTGTGTTTTTGTCAAAATTTTATATTTTTTAAACTTTTGAGGGACCATTAGACTAGAAGGCCCTGAAAAACAAAATATAATCGAATGTTCATGGAAGAAAATACAGCTAAAAGAAGTGGTTTAATTGGAAAAATAGAGACAAAAAATTTGGGTATCTAGTGGTATTTTTTCAAAGAACATTCAATTTTATTCAATTTTTTTCTTTTTACTTTTGAGGGCCTTTTAGTCTGAAAGCCGCTAAAAAAGTAAAAATAATTGAATGTTCGGCCAAAAAAATGCCAATTAAGTTTTTTTTTAAAAACCAGCTTAAAAGCAAAAACAATCATATCTAGTTCAATAAGTTCATCTATTGTGTAGCCAGATCTGTCCTAATAAATAAATAAATAAGAAGGAAAGCAACAACACAACAAAGGCTCTAAGTTGGCCACATTATTATTCCAATCTAACAAACTTTTACTAAGGTGAGTTCTTAATTTCAGAGTATCAAAAAAAAAAAAAAAAGGAAAAAAAAGAAGAAGTATTATTAGTAAATAAACTAAGTATAAGATCCCTCTTGCGGCTATGAACTTGAAGAGGAATGATCTTACTTATCCCTGAAGTAATTTTCTTAATTTCTTCCTATTTATGTTTTGTGACAAGCCTATCAGTGATCAACTTGTCATATAATAATGTTCAGATAAGCCACATTCCTAGCAGCCTTGTCATTTTCTTGAAAGGTTCCGGAATTTGAGAGTTACCTTGGCTGAGCTAATCACTCCGATCCACTCTACTTGTAATCCATGGGGATGGTTTTTCCGGAGGGTTGATTCTATACCTATTTACATCGAATAGGATAAACAATAGGATTATCTTTTCTGTTCCTTCCTCTGATGAGCTACAAAAGATGTAGTTCGTTTTTTGCTCTTTTAGGCTGCATAGCTTGTCTACTTTGTTTCTTCAAGCATAGGAGGGCATGAGAAAAATAACATTTAAAGGCTTGACAACTTCTACACTCTCTCTCTCTCTCTCACACACACACACACAAACACTATTTTTGTTCTCATGGAGGTAGAGGTTGTATTGGTATATAATCTTACTAGATGGTTGTCATAATCTACATCTACTACTTAACTGTCCCACTCCCTTATTCCTACATTTTCTATTAAAAAAAAAATCTCTATTTGATTGGTTTATTAACAGTGTTCTTCCTCTATAACTTCCCATCACCTTCAACAACCGTGCCAACCTTAACCAATTTGAAGTTGGTAATAACGTTACATGGCTTCAAATGGCCCATGACAATTAAAACAATTTGAAGTAGACAATAAACCATTACAAGAAAAAACACTATTGGCAACACTATTTTCTGTCGCCAAAGCTTCCAAATTCATGGCCAATATTATCGGTGACAAATAACTTCTCACCACTGATAGGTTGTTTGAGAAATTCTACAATAAAAATACTATTCGACAAATGGGACAAATTGCAACGACAAAAATCACCACTGAAATTTTTAAAAAATATAAATAAATAAAAATTTGATGCTGATTGGTTCACATGAAATAAGGGTTCTAGCATAGTGTGTATCAGTATAAATTCAATCTTAGATTTTAATGTTTTAAACTTGGAACATTCTATCAAAGCCAAATCTACTTAAAATAATGAAAAAGAAGAGAATATGATCACAAACAAGGAAAAATCAAATTGGAGAGTATAGGAGTCTCCATCCAGGCAAGTATAAAAGATCAGAATGAGCCATATTCATGATAGGGAAGAAAGCTGTCATTGGAAACTGAGAAAACCATAACTGTAGGAGCCATCAATATATATATCAAATACTCAAATATCAGAGTTACATGTTATGTGCCAGATAATTTGCAAATTTAAGGAAAACTTCTAAAGCTTTCTGTTTTATTCACAGGTACTATATTTGTACTCAATGACAAACACATATATACATGCCTTGTGATGTACATTCAATAATGCCTACAGTTATCATTTTCATTACTAAATTATACTGCATATACTTGCAGCTGCATTAAACTCTCACAAGAGCAGCCGATAAACAATATTTCTTACTCTTTTCATGCAACCCACATCTATGCATATATATATATGCCCATTCAAGAAGCTACTCCATATGATTACAATGACCACAACTCTATGCTCTAATTTATTTTTTACTATTTTATATCATCAGCATATACGACATAATATTGCCTTTGTTATTTCATCAAAGATTATTTTTAAATAAGAAAATCAATCATGATTCATGATAATTCGAGTTAATATTGATGGAGAATGGAAACGAAACACACGAGACATATAACATTCTTCAATTAGAATAAGGTATATACATTACATAGCATATATGTCAAACTATTACTCATAGTCACATTCATTATTTTCAAATCAAGAACCAATCATGATTATTCAGGAAAGTAATAATACAAAACAATGTCAAAAAAACTGAAAATGTATAGAATTTTTTTTATTAGAATATAGACTGTTTATTTTAATGCATATAACAATGTGTGTATATATAACATTGTTTCATATTTCCAAATAATTATTTGAATATCGACCAATGCCCTCATGAGAATATAATATTAATAACAAAGTTATTTCTCTCTAACAATTTAAATTTTTAAATAAATTAATGATCAACAATTCAATATAAAATTAGAGCATATAATAGATTTTTAAAAATATTTTACTCCTTGCGGAGAAGAGCCCAGCTACGGGCAAAATATAATATAAACAATGAAATTGTATATATAACTGAAACAGTGAAAAAATCACGTGTATATAGATATATATGAGATAGGGAACAGTGAAATAATCAGTGTGTATAATGTATGTATCTGTGTATAGATATATATAAAAGAGAGAGATGAATGTCATGCATGGCTGGAGAGCCTATACCGAGAGAAAAAAAAGTCCAGAATGTAGATTATCCAAACAAGGAAACAACCAACCCATTTGAAACAGGAAATCTTACGGGTAAACCGGGGAGAAAAAATAAAAAATAAAAGAAAAGGAAGTTGCTTCAGACTTCAAAAACTAACCAGAAAGCACAACGAAATGCAACCCACAACAGAAATCAAATGCTTTGAAAAAACAAGCAAATACTAAAAACAAAAACACCTCTTGTTGACGCCAATAATGTACCAACACAAAAACACTAACTTTATATTTCAACCATCACAATAATAATAATAATAATTCCTCTTTCTTTGCATTTGAAAATTCAACTACAAACAAACCAAACCAGCATATTTTCATTTCCTCTTCTTCTTCTTTCTGCTTCAATGGGTGTCAAATGGTCTACAATACAACTCCAAACCATCATCAATATATTGCATTTAGGGAGAGAAAGAGAGAGAGAGTGGTGTCTTTAAGACCTTGGGAGTGGGAAGAATTGCGTACCGGACATGAAAGTGTTAAGTGGAGCTGGGTAAAGAGAAGGGTCCAGAAACGCTCCCGCCGCCGGAGAATCCACCACAGCAGCCGTGGCACCGGCGGCGGTGGTGACGGCGGAGGTGGCGGTGGCCATGGCGGCGGTAATGAGATTAAGTCCACTGGGTGTGCCGCCGGAAGAGCTCTCTCCGGCCATGTAGTGAGTTTCAAGGCCATGATCGTATAGAATTCCCCTGAAAACATGTCCTCCGATGTTCACAGCCGTCTGATAGGCGTACTGGTCCTCCGCATCATCAATGGAGCTCACGCGTACACACCGAAACACCGCCGGTGAATTCACCTCCGGCGGAAAATTCCCCATCTCCAACCCTAGAAACACACATCGCTAGATTACATAAATACAAAGTGTTTTAAAAAAAACATTTGATAGATTGTGGAGCACGAGAATCAAAACAAAGTCACAGAGACGCGCATACACAAACAAAAGAGAAAAAAAGTGTGTTTATTCCCTGTGGATTCAATAGTCAGGATTCGTAAACAACAGTGTTTCGAAAGAAAAAAAGCTGATGGGTTTTACTATGGAGGTCGAATTCATCATAATCACACGCAATCGATTTGTTCAATCTGTTTTCATTTCTTTTTGTTTTTTTCTTTCTGTGGTGGGTAATAGGAGAAGTCGTACTCTCTCTCTCTCTCTCGGAATTCACCAGCATTTTATTCTTTAAAGCAATCTACATGAATATTTGGGACTGTGATTGGCTCAGAGAGTATATAGAGAGAAACAATAAGCTACAAGTTACAACACACACAAGTGTACCTGAGGCGTTAGAGGTTAAACGAGTGCAGACGAGGGAGGAACCACTGGGATTCATATTCTCTCTGTGCCTTTTGGGATGGTCTCTGTGTAGCAGCTCTTGTTGTTGTGATTGTGATTGTTCATGTTGTTGTTGTTGTAAAGTAGCGAGTTGTTGTTGCCTTTCTCGCCTTTTAGCAGCAGGAACCCAAGTGCTCTTGACATGGGTATGGCAATGAAACCCTCGGCTCTTGCAACAAGTCCTACACCTCATGTGCTCACAATCCTTCTTGGCTTGGTTTCCACAGTCTTGACAGCTGATACTTCCTCCTCCACTTCCGCTGCCGCTACTTCTCATCATCACAAACGCAGATCTCGACGATTCATTGGAGATATTGATTGAGCTACGGCTCGGCCCCACCGCTAAGCCTCCCGCCGACGAATAAAGGTCTTGTAACGGGTTGCTATGTCGCTGCTGCTGCTGCTGCTGCTGAATATTGTGTTCTGGGTGGGGGTGGTGGTGGTGTTGGTGGTGGTGGTGTTGCGGTGGTTGTTGCCATAGTTCGAAACCTTTGTAGGTAACATCTTCGCTTCTGTGGAGAAACCAGCTCTCGGGATTGATTTCGTTGGGTTGTGGTGGTGGTGGGTTGGTGTTGTTGCTGCTTTGTTGGTGGTTGTTTCTCGTTCCTCTTCCTCCTCCTCCGCCGCTGCCTAGTGAGAAGAAGCCAGCCATTGTTCCACCTTTAAACCTGTCCCAAACCTCAGTTGTGACTGACAATCCATAGCAGAAGCCAAACTACTACCTAGATTCCAACCCAGTGGTGAAATGGGTGTTCTTCAATTTTGAATTTTTTTTTAATTCTCTCTCTCTCTCTGTGAAGAGATTGCTAATTGTTGACGATGGTGGTGGGGATTATTGCAGCTTTTTCTCGGAGATTTTTGGGACAGCATTAATCGAGAAACCAATTTCTTGGCTGTCTAGTGAGCATTAAAGACATAGAATTACAGCTCTGCCACGCCGCCATGGCTCAAAAGCAGACGTCTCTCTGTCCCTCTCTCTCTCTGTTCTCTGCAAATCACCAATTTAAGTTTCCAAACAGACCCTTCCTTCCATTCTTTGCCCTCTTTCTCTCTTGGTGATCAGTGGTACTGCTGCTGGTGGTGGTGGTAAGCTTGTAAGTTGGAAGTGAATTGTTGTGAGTGCAGAGGAAGACCTTACCCTCTGTTGTGTGCCTTCATGATCATATCATATCATATAGTACTAAATAAATCTGATCATGATCATGATCTGATCTTCCAAATTACCAGTTAGTGATACTCCATCTAACGGTCTTCCCATCTGCCACGTGTCAGGGAACTAGCTTTTGCGATTCGTCGTCCACTCTTTGCACCGGAGAACCCGCTACTTTTAGGGAAATTATACAATACTTCTGGATTCTATGTCACCATATTTCAAATCAATCATCAATTACTTAATTTGATGTTGTATCTCAATTTTAACATAAATTTTGAACTCCTCTCCCTTTCCACCAATCAAAATTTTCTGAAGGATCACGTATCAAAATACTGAGGCTTCGTTTAGAAACAGGCTAATTTAATAATTTTTTGACTATTTGATTAAAATATGAACTAAAAAAAATTAGTATGTTTGGGATGACTTTTTGACTTTTTAAGAAAAGATGTGCAAAGTAAAGAGAAAAGAAAATCTTTAACTTTTTGATATGAATCGTTAACTTTTTATCTAATTTAATAATTTTTTGACTTTTTAACTAAAATTTTTTTTCCAAACGAAGCCTGAATAATCACCCCTACTTTTATCTCTCTCATCTTTTTAATTAATGATTAATGATTAAGAATGATGGATGAGTTTTTAACTGATATTCTTTTGATGATTAACATGTAATTATCCACCTGCAACAGAATTTAGTTAGCCATTTGTACAGGATAGTTTTTGCCTAAAGCCAAGAAAAATACGGACAATTATTTAGTAATTTTAAATTATAAACACGTGATATTTTATAATATTGTAATTGATAGAAAATGTAAATATATGAGGTATTGTGTTGAGTAATTGAGATATATAAATAGATATATTAAATGATGATTGGTTAGAAAGTACAGACACGCAATACTTTAAAAATATTAATAATTTCTCAAAAAATACACCCCCAAAAAAATTAGAAGAAAATGGGGCATTTTTTTATTTTTTATATGTTTTTTACCAACGTTATTAATTTTTTACCAACTTCTCAAAACACTAACGTTACATGAAGGGATAGAAATAAGATCTCTTTTGCCAACTGGAAAAAAAAGCGCATGTGTTAATTTTTTTGACTTGTTTATGTTATATCATTTTTTTATTTTTTATATGTTTTTTTCATAATAAGTAAAAAAAATTAATTTTTTTAACATTTTTCAAAACAATTCTAAGGGTGTGTTTTTTTGGACGAACTGAATAAGAGGAAATTGAAATCCATCGGACTGTTAGTCTTGTGATACATTATCCTCGGACTATTTGGTTAGACTAGATTTTTATCTTATGTTTGTTTAGTCATGTGATTAAATGTCTGGATTGGACTATTCTATTGAATCCTATGCTTTTTGGCTTTTTTGGCTATTTTAGCCTGGGCTAAAAAGTTTGGTTTGGGAAGAACTTTTTGGCTTTTTTGACTTTTTTTGTGAGAGAAGAGTGTAATGATTATAGGTTGGATGTGATGTTTTGTTTGTTGTGGCTAAAATAGCCTATTTTGTCTTTTGTGGCTAAAATAGCCAAAAAAGCCCATAAACTTACTTCCCAAACAGTGCCCATGTTTGTTTGGGATATTATGAAGAAACATAAATGTTCAAATGACTATTTTATCCTTTTCAATTATTTACTATGTAATAGCAATATTAAACATATATTTAATATTTTAATTATTTTTAGCTAGATTAAATAAAAATTTATTTAATTTTATTTTTTGCACAATTAAATAAATTTATTTTTAAAAAATTAAATAAATTAAATTAGTAAAATATAATTATTTATTGTTGAAATTAAACATTTAATTGTTTAAATAAAACATCTATTAAAAAAATAATAATAATTAAACAATGAAATTAAATAAAACATCTATTAAATTTAAATAATGAAATTAAATAAAATATAAACAAAATTTTAAAATAAACATCAATAAAATATCTATAAAAAAATTATTTTAAAAAATTAAATAAATAAAACATCAATAAAAATTAAATAAAATTATTTTATTTTAAAATTAAGACGCTAAAATTTTATTGAATTTTACTAAATATAATACATAATTAAATCGTAGAGAGTAAAAATAGTCATTTCACCATCTAATCTCATATCTCTTCTTATCCCTCCTTTTGTGTCCCATCCTGGGACACAATAGTTCAATGGATTTGGAACTAATAGTCCAGAGGGAATAATAATCTGGTGCAAAAATTTTGAACAAAACAAAAGACTATTAGTCTGGATGGACTAGTAGTCCAATTCCACCCTTCAATCCCTCAAAACAAACACCACCTAAGCGTCAGCACACTTGTGGTTAAGAATTTTTTGACTTCAATTTTTTTTTTAATAATATTTCTAATCATTTTAAAATTGTGTTGACTCTTGAATATTTTTATTTAAAAAAAAAACTTGTAAAAATGAAAAATACAAAATACAAAAAAACAGTGAATAAATCATGATCTACAAGAACGAAAAGATTTTGAAGACAAAAATATGGCGCCCACGAAGGAAGCATTCATACCAACTGCAAGATGGACCCTCTTTATTATCTTTTGAAAATTTCTTCACTAACACAATTTTTGGGTAAATTATAAATATATTTTTTAGATTTTGTAATTTTAAAAATTATAAATACCACATAAAGTAATATTATTCTATATAGTGCTCATTTGGTATGTAGATTTGGGTGATGTTGGGGCTATTTTAGCCGTAAAAAGATAATATAGATTTTTTAGTCTCAGGTTAAAAGTTGTCCCATTCAAACTATAATTATTACAATTTTTTCTCTCATAAAAGTTAAAAAAAACCAAAAAACTTATCCCACACAAGGCTATTTTAGCCCCAAACTAAAAAAATTAAAAAAACTAACCTACATCTTAAACGATCCTATAGAATTTTTTTTTTACTTGTATAATATTATCTTTATTTTTCATTTTGGAAAAAATACTTAGCCAAATAACAAATCTTTTAACTCACGGATCTGTGTTAAATAAATTTCGGTATTTGAAACTTGACCAACTTATATGAGTAGGAAACTGGAGAAATTTTTGAGTGCAGATAGGATAGGTGCCATGAGTAGGGGCTATATTCATGTGTTGGGTGATGAAGAAACAACATAGCATGCCACATGGTACCCTATCTGCACCCAAGAATTTTTCAAGAAACTAGGTGTGGAGGCATATTTTTGTGAATGACAACACGTGACTAAGGTGGCACCAAAGTGCCAGCCGAGGTGCCATGTGTCCTGATTATGGCGCTGAGGTGATCTCGGCTAGGCTGAGATTATCTGCGGAGATACCAGAATCCGAGATAAGTGGATAGGGATAAGAGTTCTAGAATGGGAGAGGACCTCAGTCTGGATAAGGATAAAACTCTTAGCGAGTTTATCTCTATCTAACTGAGAGTCCAAGATAGGTATTGAGCCAGAGTCCATTGAAGCTATACTTCTAGAGGAATCAGGTTAGCGTTGGCTATAAAAATAAGACACCCTCATGGGTTTAAGGTACGCTTTTTGTATTCTGGCTAGTGAGTTAAAGCACTATTTGCTATCTTTAAGAGATAATTGAGTACTGACTTGATCGTCGGAGTGTCCACAGGTGGAAGAACCACCGTCGGAGTCTTATCTTTCTGTGACAGGTCGTTCGGGTGCAGTCTATTCTGCCGGTGTTCTCCAGCTGAGTACCTATTTGACAATGTGGTCAGAAATCAACACATACACTGGGTAAAAACATTAATGAAATGTATTAATTTGTGTAGCGTTACTTTAATTTTTCTAAAAGTCTTGTTAATTATTGGCATAAAGATATTGGTTAACAAAATGACATTTTCAAGTTTGTTAATAAGTGCTCTTATGAAACTAATTAGCAAAATAAAATTTAAGACAAATTATATCTACAACATCCGTAATTAGTTTTTGTGCAAATTATTATGACCCATAATGGTGAGTGTTTTGATATGAAATGATAAAGTTGCACTTCTTTGAGTTCACAACTCTCTCCATGTAAGTAGATTTTACTATTTAAGTGAAAAGGTTTTTAATGGTACACAAGTTGGTGTAAATTTCATAATTTTTTTAAAAGGGTCATGATAAAGACATTAGACTATCATTAAAGGTAAAATTTTAAAAAATAAAATAAAATTTCAATGTAATGTTTACATATTTTTATATAATTTTTACATATCTACCAAAATTATATTGTCAGTTCAAGAGTTATCATTAATATTTCTCTTTTTTCAAATTATTCTTTTTTATTTTTGATTATTTTACTTCAACCAAATTATGAAGGTCAAATGAGTGCCACCTTTATTTTCTTTTTCTTTTTAAGCTCATAATTATTTTCAGGTAGCAATCACTCAAGAGCAAATTTAAGTGTCTAACAATTTGCAAGGGAAGGACTTTTGGTTTAAAGGTCATACTAAGCCTCTATTTGGCAAGTTGGTTCTTGGGCTTTTTTGACTATTTTAATCATAAAAGACAAAATAGGTTATTTTAGCCATAACAAACAAAACATCATATCCAACCCATAATCATTATATTCTTCTCTCACAAAAAAACTCAAAAAAACCAAAAAGTCAAAAAACTCTTCCCAAACTAAGCTTTTAAGCCCAGGCTAAAATAGCCAAAAAAGTCAAAAAGTTAAAAAGCCAACCCACTTCCCAAACGGAGGCTAATAATCATAACTTAATGAATTATCAATAAGAAACGAAAACGGCTAAAAAAGTTGGAATATTAATTTACTTTTTACACATTTTGAGTAACATTTCACATATTTCATTACATTCTTTGACAGATTTACAAGAGATTGTCATTAACATATATATATATATATTAACTATAGCATTTCTCAATCCAACGAAAAATATAAATTAACAATTATAACATAAATCTCAATTACAAATAAATAAATAAATAAATAAAATTGTGTTAATGACAGTCTAAGCTATTAACAAAGAGACAAATTACCCCAAAAAAACCGTTA